TGTTACCTTAGTATTCTGATAGCTTCATCACAGCAAATAAAAAGATAGAAATTTAAGTTCTCGAAATGAAAATATATAGCTTGGGGAAATAAAGTGCTCAATGTAGAAAAATTGTGGAGATCAAATAATTGCAGTTTTATTCACCCAATTTTCTTCTGCCTTTGATGATATTGCAGCTTTTAATAGTTGTGTGCTTGTACTGTGTCTTTTAAAGAGTACATATACCAAAAATAAATGAAATAGTGAATTTTATGAGGGTTGATGTGGAAAAGATAAATTTTTCTTAACTTTGTAGTACTGCTATTGATGGAGATGTATTTTATTAGGCTCCTATAATCATAGCAGGTGAGTGCTGACTATGAGATAGTAATTTTTCAAGTCTATCCTAATTTCTTTTCCCTGCCCTCCCCCAGCATTTTAAAAAAGTTTTACCTCCTTATAGAGAATGTCATGCGTAACATGCATGGAACTAATTTGCTCAGCTATTTTTTAATTACTGGATTTGGAAAGCCACTGGTTTTGGATCTAGGCACATGGGGATTTCCTGACAGGAAGGATCTTTTATGTGGTGTAGATGCAAGATCTACACAAATTTGTAAGGCTAGAGAATACTGTGCTTTGTCTAATCCCATTTGGTACATAGTGACACACTGACGTGTAAATGCTTCAAGGTAGGTTTACTCTAGAGTAAATTACTCTAGAGTGAACCCACCCCAGGCAGGTGTCTACACATGCGAGGATGTAGAAACAGATTTACTGCTCCTGGCAGCAGTCTGCTTCTACCCCCTTTGGTGCTGCACCAGCTGTCTGCAGCAGCCAGGAAGAGCTCTAGGTTCCCCGTGGGTGACAGCTCAGGGGCTGGCAGGGAGCATGAGAGATTGCTGGGAGATTGCTCCCTGCCTCTAGGAGCTACCTGCTGCCAGGGTAGGTCCTGTCAATGGAGCCAATGTCCCCCTCCCCTGGCACCAGGGAGCTCCCAGCCCCAGCTTCCCAGCCGGGGGGCAGGGAGCTTGGAAAGAGCTGCAGGGGAAGGGCAGGTCTCAGTCTCCTGCCCTGATATGCTAGTGGGGCAGCTAGCAGCAAGTCTCCAGCTGGGCAGGGAATACAGCTAGCAGCAAGCTGGGGGCTCACTGCTAGCTGCCTCACTGGCAGATCGGGGCACAGGGCTGGGACCTGCCCTCCCCTGCAGCTCTTTCCCAGGCCCACACTTTGATTGCCCAACTGGGGCATGGGGCTGAGATCTGCCCCTAACTGGAACAATTCCCAGATACCCACAGGCTGCTCAGGAAAGTCTGAATGTGCAGCCTGGAGGTCCTCCAGTCTGCATGTGAAGACTTCCCCAGGCAGCCCAGGGCTGGCTGGGACCTGTCCTGGTCAGGGGCAGGTCCCAGCCAGCTCTAGGCTAGTTGCAGAACAGCCCCCATGCAGGCAGCTCCCAGCAAATTACTGCATAGTAAGCCTCTGCACATGTAGACAGTGATCCTACTGCACAGTAATTTGTACTAATCTGAAGTAAAGCGTCTCATGTAGATTCACCTAGTAACTTCAGAAGCACCACCAATTGACAGCTTAAAACATCCAAAAAAGGTAATCTATTCTTAAATTGGCCTTTCCTCCATTTTCAGAGCTAAGGAGAAACTTGACACAACAGAAAAACTGGACTACTAATGGGCAAAAACAGGCTTTATTTTGTTGTTTGTTTCTCTAAGGAACTTTTGGAATACTGAATCTATTCTTTTCAATTTAAGTCAACTGGAAATATTTCCCTCAAGTCTTCTTTAAAAAAATACTAATTTGGGGCTGGCATGGAAAATGCAGCCCCAAAGTAGAAAGTTTCAGAAATCCAAAATACGTGGAAAAGAAAGGTTGGTATAACAAAACTCCACTAGTACCTGAACTATAGATTTTGCTACTTTACTGTATTACAATCTGGTATGGTGGAATTTCATACAAATACAAGATTCCTAGAGCTAAAATGGATTTCACGTGGTATCAGTGTATAATATTGATTATATTGAATGCTGTTGTTGTTGTTTATGTAGCAGTATTGATACGGATAGTGATACACAGATGAGAGCTTTTTTTTCATAATAATTAATATTAGTTATATTTACAACACACTAATATTGCACTACTAATAATACTGATGTTAACAATAGTAAGTAATACTAATTTAGTATTAAAGGGCAATTGGCAGAAGATGTTGTAGGGATGACAAAAAGAAAAACAAAAGAAAATAAAATTGTTCATAGTTTCATAGTAGCTAGGGTCAGGAGGGACCTGAACAGATCGTCTAGCCTGACCCCCTGCCACAGGCAGGAATGAATGGTGGGTTCACAAGACCCCAG